CAGAGACTCCTGAGAACCCAGAGACCCCTGAGACCCCTGAGGCTCCTGACGTTCCCAGAGACTCCGGAGACCACAGAGACCCCAGAGATTCCTGAGACCCCAGAGACCCCCAACACCCCCGAGGCTCCTGACACCCCAGAGACCCCTGAGACCCTGCCCAGACCCTGGAGTGATCAGAGAAGGTTCTGGAAGGGGCCAGCAGCACCCACAGGAAGCTGGAGGAGCCAGGAGCACTCACAGGTAGTCGAAAATGATGAGGCCTCCCCGGGACAGGTACTTGAGGTTGGATTTGGTGAGGAAGAGGACGCCGTTCTCCAGGCTCTGGATCTGGCGGATGTCGTCGCTGCTGTTCACCTGGAAGGATGAGTAGCGCTCCAGAGTGGGCCCGAAGAAGGAGGTGGCGTGGCCCTGAAAGGACAGGGGACAGGGATGTCACAAGCCCGTGTCCTGGTGGGTGTGACACAGCTGAGTGTTGCTTCATCCTCTGCCAGATCCTGGATTTTCCAGGTTATGGGGACATTCCTGACACTCCAGGGAAGGCAGCTGAGGCTTTTCCCTGGATAAATAAAAAAATCCCAACATGTCCCCTCTGCCCTGAAAGCAGAGGGGACAGGAGTGTCACAACTCCCTGTCCTGGGGGGTGTGACACTGCCAGATGCAGGTTATTGGGGTTTTCCCATAACTCATTAACCCCATAACCCCATTAGGTCCATAACCTCATGTTATGGGTTAGGCTTTTCCAGGTTATGGGGGTTTTCCTATAACCCATAACCCCATAACCCCATAATCCCATTAATCCCATAACTCCACAAACTCATGTTATGGGTTAGGTTTTTCCAGGTTATGAGGGTTTCCTATAACCCATAACCCCATTAATCCCATAACTCCACAAATCCAGGTTATGAGTTAGGCTTTTCCAGGTTATGAAGGTTTTCCTATAACCCATAACCCCATAACCCCATTAATCCCATAACCCCATTAATCCCATAACCCCATGTTATGGGTTAGGTTTTTCCAGGTTATGGGGGTTTTCCTATAACCCATAACCCCATTAATCCCATAACTCCACAAACCCAGGTTATGGGTTAGGCTTTTCCAGGTTATNGGAGCAGGGATGGGAGCAGGGATGGGAGCAGGGATGGGAGCAGGGATGGGAGCAGGGATGAGCAGAGAAGAGGAGGAAAGGGCAGAGAAGGGCAGAGAACAGAAGGAAAGGTCAGGGAAGTGAGTAGAGATGAGCAGGGAAGAGCAGGGATTGCAACAGAAGAGGAGGAAAGGGCAGAGAAGGACAGGGAAGAGAGTAGGGATGAGCAGGGAAGGGCAGGGAAGGGCAGGAAAGGGCAGGGATGGAGCAGGGATGGAGCAGGAATTGAGCAGGGATGGAGCAGGGATGGGAAGAGAAGAGGAGGAAAGGGCAGAGAAGGACAGGGAAGAGAGTAGGGATGAGCAGGGAAGGGCAGGGTAAGGCAGGAAAGGGCAGGGATGGAGCAGGGATGGGAGCAGGGAAGGAGCAGGGATGAGCAAGGAAGAACAGGGATGGAGAAGGATGGAGCAGGGATGCGCAGAGATGGACAAGAATGGACAAGGCCGGACAGGGAAGGGCAGGAAGAAAGCAGAGATGAGGAGGGATGAGCAGGGATGGAGCAGGGATGGAGCAGGAATGGAAAGGATGGAGCAGGGATGGAGCAGGGAAGAGAGAAGGGATGAGCAGGGATGGGCAGGGATGGAGCAGGGTTGGGCAGGGATGGGAAGAGAAGAGAAGGGAAGGGAAGGGCAGAGAAGGGCAGGGAAGAGAGATGAGCAGGGAAGAGCAAGGAAGAGAAAGGAGAACAGGGAAAAGCGGGGAAGAGAGCAGGGAAGACCAGGAAAGAGCAGAGAAGAGCAGAGATACCAGGCAGGAATCCCAGAGCGAAGCCCCAGGGAGCAGCCCCCAGCCCAGCCACACCTTCTGTGTCTCCTGCACGGTGTTGAGGTCCATCTCCAGCACGTGGTTCTGCAGCCCGGCCACCAGCAGGGTGTTGTTGTCCGTCAGCAGGAGGCTGTGCATGTCCTCGGACTCATCCATGCTGGGGACAGGCAGGACACCCTGAGACCCCTGGGACCCCTCAAACCCCTGAGACCCCAGAGAATCCTGAGGCTCCTCAGAGCCCTGAGACCCCTGGGACCCCTGAGATCCCTGAGGCTCCTGAGACTTCTGACACCCCTGAAGCCCCTGAGGCCCCTGACATCCTTGAGACCCCTCAGACCCCTGACACCCCAGAGACCCCAGACACACCTGGAGACCCCTGAGACTCCTGACAACCGTGAGACCCCAGAGAACCCTGACACCCCAAGGACCCCTGACACCCCTGAGGTTCCTGAGACCCCAGAGACCCCCAAGACCCCTGACACCCCTGAATCCCCAGAGACTCCAGACAGCCCAGAGACCCCTGACACCCCTAAGGCTCCCAACACCCCTGAGACCCCAGAGACCCCTGAAATCCTTGACACTCCAAAGACCCCTGAGGCTCCTGAGACCCCTAAGACTCCTGAGATCCCTGACATCCCAGAGACCCCTGAAACTCCTGAGGTTCCTGAGACCCCAGAGAACCCAGAAAGTCCTGAGACCCCAGAGACCCCTGACACCTGTGACACCCCTGAGACTCCTGACACCCCTGAGGTTCCTGAGACCCCACAGACCCCAAAGACCCCTAACACTCCAGAGATCCCTGAGACCCCTGACACCCCAAAGACGTCAGAGACCCCTGAGGTTCCTGAGACCCCAGAGACTCCTGAGACCCCTGAGACCCCAGAGACCTCTGACACACCTGACACCCTTGAGGCTCCTGAGACCCCAGAGACCCCAAAGACCCCAGAGACCTCAGAGACCCGTGACACCCTAGAAATGCCAGAGACCCCTGACACCCCCCACACCCCTGAGACCCCAGAGACCCCAAAGACCCCTGAGACTCCTGNGCCAGCGCCTGCTTGCTGGCAGACACGTCGAAGGTCATGATGAGCGGCCCCACGGTGTTGACGTGGAAGATGTCGGCGGGGTTGGCCAGCCCCGTGGGCTCACAGAACTGGCACTGGCCTGGGCAGGAGGGAAAATGGGCAAATGTGGTGCTAGGAAGGTGTGGGAGTCAAGCACGGTGCTGGATATGGGATGGCGGTGCTTGTGGGGTGTCCTGAGTGGGAAGGGAGCCACAAGGAGCAGAGTGCAGCTCATGGTCCTGTGCAGGACAAGTCCAAAAGTTCTCCAGTCCCCAAATCCCAAGACCTGAGAGTGTTGTCCCTGACCTCTCAAATTATGGAATATCCCAAGCTGGATCGTCAAGTCCAACTTCTGTTCTTGCAGAGGACAAGCCCAAAAGTTCCTCAAATTTCCAAATTCCAACGCCTGAGAGCATTGTCCCTGACCTCTCAAATTATGGAATATCCTGAGTTGAAAGGAGCCCACATGGATCATCAAGTCCAACTCCTGCTCTTGCACAGGACAAGCCCAAAAATTCCTCAAATCTCCAAATCCAAACACCTGAGAGCGTTGTCTCTGACCACTCAAATTATGGAATATTCTGAGCTGAAAGGAACCCACATGGATCATTGAGTCCAACTCCCAGTCCAGCAAAGGACACCCCAAAAGATCTTCAAATCCCTAAATCTCAACACCTGAGAGCATTGTCTCTGACCTCTCAAATTATGGAATATCCTGAGTTGAATGGAACCCACAAGGATCATCAAGTCCAACTCCTGTTCTTGCACAGGATAAGCCCAAAAATTCCTCAAATCTCCAAATTCCAACACTTGAAAGTGTTGTCTCTGACCTCTCAAATTATGGAATATTCTGAGCTGAAAGGAACCCACATGGATCATTGAGTCCAACTCCCAATCCAGCAAAGGACAAGCAGTTCCTCAAATCCCAATACCTGAGAGCATTGAGATGTTTGTACTCCAAGAATTTACAAGGACAGATAAAAGAAAGGTTTCAGAAATGGAATTACAGAGAATTTTTGCTAGAATTGTCACGCACAATCGACCTCACCTGTCTGGGAGATGATGGCCAGGCGCGAGGTGTAGGTGGGGATGAAGCGCAGGAAGAAGGGGTCGATGTGGACCTGCAGGGGGGTGGTGGCCCTCATCATCCTGAGGTCATAGACCTTGAGGAAACGGTCGCAGGCCAGGCCGTTCATGCGGCTGGAGAAGCCACAGGTCACCAGCAGGTTCCCGTGCACGTCAAAGTCCGACAGGCTCCCGGAGTGCGCGTCAAACTCGTGCTCCACCACGAAGGTGCGCAGGTCACGCAGGGACACCTGAGAATAGAGGTCCTGCCTGTGGTCACCCAGGCTCTGGAGGTCTGGGAAGAGCTGGAATTTTGGGATTTTTCCCCTCCCTGAACAGGGGTTACCTTGCCCGAGGTGTGGCCGCAGAAGAAGAAGCGGTTGGATTGCCTCATGATGGTGATGCCGGGCACCTCCACGGTGTACTGGGAGAGAGGAGGGAGAGCAGGGATCAGCCAAGGGCAGGGATGGAGCAGGGA